TTTGCCGTAGTCTTCGAAGACCTTTCGCGGAAGCAAATCCCGAAATCCAGCCGAACAGCCTGTGCTGAAGCAGCTGCGGAAGGCGGAGGCAAAAAAGACTACAAGTGCTACTCGCGGAAAGTACGCGGAAGGCCTCCGCGGAAGGCGTAGTCTCTGTAATAGAATTTAGTTAGAATAAAAGCCACCGCTCTCATGGTACTGCAGGTAGGGTGCCCGAATTTCTTGTCTACAGGGCAAACTGCTGCGGGTGGGGTTCCGCAGTTTCGTCGTGTCGGGTACCTAGGTGGCCCTGTCAGGTATCGTGTCACCTCGAATTCAATCTCCACAGCTTGCCCTTCTTGCCCTCCCCACGCTGATGCATGCTGATGCTACAGGTAACCATCTTGATTCGCACCGAACTTGCGTGGCCGTGTTGCCGCGTACCCATGTATACCGATGTATTTACTCGCCTGGGGCCGCCCAAGCGAATATCCGACTCGCACGCTCCCTTGCGTTTGTGCAGAACGGGCTCTGACACAGATCCACATGCACCGGGGCGTTGGTGCAAAGATGCGCCGACCGGCGCTACTATGAGCCGAGACCCCATCCAAGCTACAGAATCATCAGAATCATGGTCAGTCTGTCACTCCCCGAATCCCCCCATGTCCGCATTGTGCAGGGCGACGCTGCCACCAGCGTGGCCAGCTGCGGCGGGCATGCAGTCGACGACTTTGCTGAGTTGGAAAGTTGAAAGCTTCTGCAAAGCTTCTGCGCATCTGACTAAGGTTTGGGACCGAGCCTCCGCCCGGCCTTAACTTGGAACTCCAAGGCTCCTCGAACCCGTCAATTTGCATCGACTTTGCTTTGCTTCAGCCTTGTTTTGCCTGACACTGGTGATGCAAAAACACCCCAGAAGGAAAGGTCCCGTGAAAACTGTGAGACTTCAGGAGAACGGGGTTGGCTGCTTGAGGCACGCACCGATGCCTCCCACACGAGCAAAACCCAATGCTCATTTGGGTGCCATGGAAGGCTTGCAAAGAATTGCTCTCCGCCGATTATTTACTTGCTAGTCTGCACTTGAAAAAGAGTGGCCTGGCGCTCACGTCATACACGACACCCGCATTGTGGCCTTAAGGCACCACACTTGGCGATGCTCTCCATTCCATAGCAGACAGGGTCCACTGACTGACTGGAGGTTCACAGTATCTTATCTAATCATGAGAATCATAAGTAGTGCCCACTTCACATAACGAAGCCCGCCCTCTCCCTCGGGTCCATCTGGACCCGAGCCTCTGTAATTAAGTGTATCCACGTTCATCAGCTGGAGATTGCTCCTAGATCTCCTAGCCAATGGTACCAGCCAGTAGCCGGCACTTTCATTTTTTGCATTCTGGGCGGGGGGGCGGCGGGCGGAATGGATTTTGCAATTTTAATGCCGGAAGGGGCGGGGGTGTGTAATTTGGATTTTGCAATTCTGCGAGGGTTTGTTAATGATATGAGGTCAACATAAATCGCTCGACTGGCAGCAATCCTGATGTGCGTTTGTCACAGCAACGTGGTAGGACAGCAGGGAGACACGTATGCATCGGGCATTGGGAGCTGAAGGCATGTTTAGTTGGACTAGCTGGCTAGTTGCCACTGGGTGAGGTGATTACTGTATGCATGTATTGAGTTTGGCAGTCATGGGTGTACATTGATCATTCAAT